CCGAGCGTGATCAACGTCTATGTAGTTCGAATTATCGTTATAACCGATTTTCGTTGACTGTGGCAAATAAATATATCTATACAAGTACACGTACCCCGGCGGTGATACACATTTCGCCACAAACACAATCTGACAAATGTAATGTAATTCACGTTTAGTTGAAGCGCGGGCGGGCGGGCGGCCGGTGGCGTAACGATTTCGCAATTTCTAACTTTTTATGACCGTTAAAATAGCACCCGATAACAATAATTATTGTTCTTTTCTCCGTAGTTACTTCGGTAGTGTGTTGCTCGCAGTCTATACAATATAGGTATATAATATATATATATAAAAAAATAACGATTCAGCGGAAAGTCGAACGGCTAAAATTGACGGTCATTACATTTTTTTTTCGTCATTTCATAGTAAATAACGTGGCAAAAATAAAAGCCGCACATGTTGGTTGACAAAAAAATCTCGGAGTACTCTTTAACTCGGAGTACTCAAAGAAAGAGAGAGAGAGAAAACAAATAAATCATCAAATAGAAATCATTAGTTGAGAGCTTCGTAGTGACTTGTAGAGGCTAACGTGCAAAAAAAAAAATAGGAACTATTAAATAATTCCTATCTATAGTAAAACCGTGGATACGCTTTCGGTGTTTATATATATATATAATATTATAGATGACAGTTTAGAAGGTTAGTGATTTTTTAAAATTTGTTTTCCAACTTGGTGATTACAAAAGATCAATGAAATTAAATAAAAAGTGGATATAAAAAATTGACTTAAAAACTCAATGATGAATCTAACCGTAGATGTATATTAGTTTAATAAATTAAACATTTTAATGATAAATTATCAAAACAAAAACCTTAGCACGTGACCTAATTTTAACATTACGAATTAAAACTGTCTAGTCTGTGGAAGTAACGCGGAACATGAGATAAAATATGAAGTTAATTAGTTTGCACTTTGCAGTTAATATATTTCTGTTTTTTTAGTGTATGGCAAAGGGATTTCTTACTATACCCTTCATTATATTATTGCACTAATATCGCTATATAATAATCGTAAATAATGAGGCACATATCGATATAATAACGATTTTATTAATTTATCTATTTAAGTTTACTTTGTTTAAATATTGTACGCAAGAAACATTGAACTTAATTTTAGCGAATATTGCGAAAGTATTTAATGCTCGTACGAACATGTTGTAAAATAATTTTTCTAGCAAATGCATAATTATAGTAAAAAATGCAACCTTTTCTTATACGCTTAATTCAAACCTATTAGCTTTAAATTATTTTTTATTTAACCCTGTGTTTCCTAGTCTTTAAACTGCATTACATGTTTTAATAAGAATTTATAAGATTAATATTAAAAAATAAAATAATCTCTGTTTTTATTTGCTTATATAAGAATATACATACGTACATACAAACTTATATACGTAGTATATAATGATATATTACATGTCTTTTAAAAGTTGTATTGCCAAAATAAACCGTTATATCATAATTTATTGCTTAATATCTACATCGCATAATATACCCATAAATTATGAAAACTTAAGCAGAGTATTCATGAAATTATTAAATTACTATTCATAGTTTTACAATATAGTACAGTAATGGTGCTCATACCAGTATTCCAAGTAGTATTACTCAAGTATTATTATTTTATATAAACTCACATTTATGTTATGCCAAATTACTGGTTAGTAATTTCGACATTTCCTCTGACAAATATTTCATTTATTGGTCGATTAATTTATGTTACATTATTTAGTTCAACAATACAACAAAATATCGTATAACAAGCCGGGATTTAGTTTGCGAGGGCTGAGTAAAATAATTACAATTAAGATAAAAAACACAGTACTCCAGGTTGTATATTGCAGAGCTTTAACATTCCCCGTCTCGGTTTTTGTTTGGATCTACATATGTACATTACATTATATTGATTATGTCCCCCTCTTACTCAAGGGTCCCAGTCCCGGTCCCGGTCCGGTTTGGGGGGCATAACTGTCAACGATGCTCGCAAATTCGATTATGACTCACGATGAAATGCACAAAATACATAAGTTACATTAATCGAAAAATCGATTAAATCGAAAAATATGTTTTTTAGTATTAAGATGGACACGATTTGGGTTATTATCTGTTTATAATAATTTATTGCCATGAATACTTTGTTGACTGTTGATTTACTCACACTTAGCAACCAAGAAATTGACTACGGTAAAAGTGTAATTTCTCTCTTTTTTTTATTTTCCTTTAATTAAAAAAATGTTAACTTCAGATTTTTAAGGACATTTTATATGATCCATTCTAGATCCAACTTCGGTCTATTTTTCAGATCATAAACCATACAAATTCACCTGAAACCCGAAATAAAGAAAACGTAGGGGTAAAGGTTTACGGATATGTTTTGGTTTGTCAACTTTTATCGGTAGTACTAAGTCTAAAAACAATGTTCCATACAGATTTGAAACTAATTCGGTTTTTTTTATAGAGTGTTATAATTTTAAGTTTAAAAATATATTTGCGTGTTTTTCTCGATTTTGAAGGGAAGGAGTGAACTTTTTAAACTTATGGTCCAATAAAGTACTTTTGAGGTACGATTTCTGATCTATAGAGTTGCTATACCAAGGAATTGTTAAAGCGGTTTACATGATACGTGAATTCAGACATGAAATAAAAATAAAAACACTTCACTGTAAGAACAATACCTTCTCAGCTACACATCAAAGCTAACGGCGTAAAATAACATAAAAATTAATATTGCCGTCCAACGGAAACATTGTTTTTTTTTTAAGATTTGTTATTAACTTCCGAGATAGGTACATACCCGTTAAAAATGAATACATTACATCACAAAATTAAAAAGTAACATAACTTATTTTTTTCTATCAGTTCAGTGATTTACTTGTCTTATAAACGTTTCCTATCCTTTCTTCCCCAACAAAATGCGTGTCAGTTAAAGAGATACTCCGGAAATTAAAGTTATCATCAGATACATGTTTAAATTGTAAAATTCCTTTACAGATGGTGTCATACAACTGTTTCTTCTTTGATGATAAATAATATATCCTAATTCTTTTCATCCACTTGGCTTTATGCTGCAACTTTTTACTCGCATTATTATATTTCATTCTTAAATCATTTTAGCCGTCTATTACTAGTTCTATTATATTCTATTTCTATTGTTCATCAATACAATTTCCAAAATGACATTCTAAAATATGATATTATAACCGAAACTTTAAATATAGTAATAACGCCAATCATTTAATTCATAAAATATGTAAACTTTAACAAAAAACTACGGGTGAAAAATATCATATCATTTCATTTATTTGCACATTTATATAAATTATTTAAGGAAATTCAATCTAAGATTAATCGAAATACTATACGAATTTAAATACTAAACGATAACATAAATTAATATTTTTCATCTTGATAAATTATAAAATATTTACCTATTCGAATATTATGTTACGACATTTTTGCTTTCCACAAAATGATATAATTCTATAGTTAATTTTTGCAAAGGATCCTAAAATATTATTGTTTAATAATATTATTATTATGCTATACTATAGTATTTTATTAGGGAAGCAGTTTGATAAAAATATTATTTATATCAATATATACAACATTTATATGCGCTTAAATGTGAGGTAATAATTGTCTCATCCAAACAAAAGTTCCTAATGATTAAACATTAACAAAATTTAATGTAGTTAAAAGTTTGAGTTACAAAGTTGTTTGTCAAGTTTAGTTGCTAAAATAAATACATATGGTCTGAAAAATTAAAGGTATACAAATACAGTTTTTATCTTTGTACAATTTTGGTATCCTAATTACTAAAAACGATAAATCAAAGTTTGATGTATTTTGAATAATTATAAAAGAGTTATCAGAATGTAAATGTTTATTTAGTAGTTTCCTAATTAGTTTCACGTTAGAAATCTGTATTTTATAATCAATATCTACGTAGTCTGTAGAATATGATCAAGCACCAATTAAGTTTTCTACACGAATTTCCATAAGCCTGCTAAGATATACCTTTAACTAAATCGCATCTACCATAATGATTTTATGAATATAGAAATTTGAGCAAACAAAAAGGGATAAACTATTTAATTGCTTAGTTATGACATAACTCCTAAAATTTAAACATCTTTCATGCAAAAATGATGAGCTAAAGTGGCGTCCTGTGTAGCTCAGGGATTAATTACGACGCACTACAGCCTGAAAGGTGGGTATGAGGTTATATCCACACACCTACGTCATATTGTCATTAAAAAGGTTCCCTATTTCCCGCTTAATAAGGTGAAATTGAAAGAATGTAAATGTAACAAAAAAAAATGCATATATATTATCTTATTATGTTGTGTATTTGTCCGAGATTAAGATGAAACGTTTTTTTAAAAACACATTTTTAAATTTTTTCATACGAGTTTATTTTATAAAAATTAGATTAGGTAAATATAAAAATGTATAATATTCTTGTAAAATAATAAATATTTAAAATATGCAAAGAAAAAAGATGGTGTAACTTATTATCTTTTTTTAAAATTCTTAAAATTTAAATAATTTAAAGATTAAAAACTCTGTTTAATGAATATTTTTTTAAAGTTTTTTCCTCTTCTCTTATTCCAGCTATTTGCTGGGATCGGCTATTCTAGTCCTTAAATTGCACCCACTCCGATATAACACATTTTCGTTTTATGAAAACCTACCCTTTAGCTAAAATATTACTTGGTAGTATTTTGTCACACAAATTTACCGTCGTTTCTCTCCTTAATTTATCCATTTATATTCTATACCAAATTAACTCGAACCTGTCAATCTCATCTATCAATCTATCTTCCATTGCCATAATATCGATTTCTTGTTCGCTACCTTCTAAGTCATATACTCTATGAAAATCTCCATTTTTAAATTATACGAGTAATAATTGTTATTAATGTTTGTGTTAATTGTATATCTTTATAAATTTCATTCAGGATGGTTTAATGATGGGTGACCAAGAAGACAATCAAGATGCAGTTGAAGTGATGTTGGTAGCCTATTCCCGAGATGACGGCATGTCTGGACGTTCTGGCAGTTTGCAGCAGAGCTCCGTTAAAACCCAAGTTTAAACATCTCAACGGTAAGATGATCATAGTTTATTCCATACTATTATGTCATCAATCGTGTAATTTCTTAAATACTTACCGGGTACAAATAACTGTTTATTTTGTCTAAATGGATTACGCATTTTTGAAGAGTAATATATTACATTATTATCATTATACTAAATGGACATTAACTAAAAATAATAAAATATGTATAGTTTATTATATTTAAGCTTTAGTTATTTTACTAAATCTTTAAATATTGCTAAACAGAACTCCGTGATACAAATGTTATTTGCTGAACTCTCATTCTTATCGACTATACGTTATCGGTTTGTATAGAAGTTCTATCAATTTTCTTACGAGTAAAATGACAAAAAGATTTATTAGACGACATTTATACTGGTCGTTAATAAGTACTAAAAAACTAATATTTATACTGGTCGTTATTAAGTACTAAAAAACATATTTGTTCCGATTTAATAAAACATATTGGGCATGTAATTTTGGAAGGCCTATATGCAATAAGCACATTAATAGTACATGCGTTGTAATAATAATAGTAATGACAATGTATGTGTTTGTAGCACGTTTTTCAACCATGTCATTTCATTCATTTACCTTGCTCGTCACGTATGTTTAACGGTGACAAGAATTAACAAAGAATAAGAAATAAAAGATATAAATGGTTATACCAATTACGATAATTAAACAGACTTTGTCTAGGCTATGTAGAAAGTGTCCATTGTCATGTCACCTTAAGGCCATATGTGTAAATCACAATAACTGGTCCATGTTATATAAATAATGCTTTTCATATTGTAGTTCAGTAATAAATTAGCATAATATAAAATTGTATTTAACCTTATAGATTTTGCCCCATAATATCCACGTGTAACATCTATGAAGGTCGCTAAGGAGATCAAACAGTATTGATTATTATACATGGCATTTTTTGACGGTACGTCATAAGTCAAAAAGATGAAAGGAAAACATAGATAAACTATATTACATTATTTGAAATTTAACAACTTTTACATAAAGAAACACAACAAGGAGGAGAAAAAAACTGTTTTAAATAAAAATAACTCTTAAGCTACAGAGAGATAAGGTTCAGCTATTGTTCAGTAACACATATTATTTGTCATATATCATAAAATATTTTGTCTTATAAAGTCTTGGCATTAAGAGAAAGAGAGAGAGAGAGAGTATGTACAATTTTCTATTATCAGCAAACCCTACTTTTTTTTAGAACAAGACAGATCAACAAAATACATCTATTTTATTTATGTTTTCGTTGAATCCAAATCTAATCTCAACATTTTTAACAAATCTTACCATTTTTAAAACACCTCTTAAGTTGTAAAAAACTACAAAGATTTTGTGGTTTTATCACTTTTAAATTTGTATACAGTTTGTTCTCCTAAATTCAGAATGAATATCCTCTATTTACTAAAAGTAAAATTTTAAGTACATTACAGCTTTTACAGTGCTTGGTACTAAATTTAAAACAAAGCAGTCGTTATATTATGTATATCATACTACTTCCGCGAAACGTAATCGTAGTTTAACTTTTCAAGCATTATGAGATTTAATGTACCAACATACTCTGTTTTTATTAAGTAGGTGTGTACTCTAAACTGAAAGCACGCTATCATATTATACTGGAGAGAAGAGATGAAACGTTTCACAATACATGTATAATATATATAATATACCTCTATATATTATACCAGAAGCAAATATTTAGGTCACTACTATTTTCGAGAAAAAGGATTAATATTATACTTATGCTGTTCAGGTGAATATTGTTAACCTGCTATAACCATTGGACTCATGTGAACATTTTGCTGGGTGTATTATTATCTCGATGTAGTACTTAAAAAATAATTGTAAAAAAAACTATATATGCGTATACATGTATATACGTCATATAGGCATGTTGGATTGATTGTAGAGTGATTGAAATTTTTAATAATACTTTTGCCATATATCTTATACTAATCAATACCAATTCCCAAGGGTCATAAGCTCGTTACATTCCGATTAGTTTAGGAACTCTTGTACTACCGACAAACTTCGGATATCCCGTCATGTTTTCCTAGATAAATCTACAACATAATACTTAACGTTGCGAAATCCTACAGGGTTTCAAATTGCTCAAATTCCGGGTATTTCTTTATTAATACCATACACGTTCCGTACGATAATCTACACGCCGACATGTTTTTACTACTAACTATGTTCCACGGTAACTGTGAAATCAGATAAATTGGCACACCATTTACTCCATGTTTGTCTGAAATAATTTATTTCTAGGTAAAAATGTAAAAAATACAATGATAATCAAAAAATTGTATTGTTAGAGCGCAATCAAAATTTTGTTCTTTTTTCAAAACTTAACCAACCGAAATGTGCATTTTGTATTATTTATTATTCCTTGTACTGTCTACTTCTAGTAATTAGTTCTTTTAATTATAGCCCTGGCCAAATTAATGGAAAAGGATAGAAATATATAAAAACAAATTGTTTATTTCAGCATAACTATAATATCATCACATATTTAGTATAATCAAAAACACAATTAAGCCGATACATATACCAACTGAGCAATGTTCGTATCTAGTTGTTGAGTATTCAATGTTCGTATTCAGAAATTAATTAATAGATCAGTAAATATTGGTAGTCAAAACTTGCTAAGCCCATAGAACCTACTGTGACGAATAATAAATGAAATATTCATTCAATAGCAACTCAAGAATAAGAATTGCATTAATTATATAGAAACCCGACTAAGAGAGCAAAACAATATATAGCTATAAATAACCTATAATAGGACTACTGTACATTTGAGTATCACACTTTCCTATTCTTAAAACTGATAAACAAACAAGTTTCTCAAAAAATAAACAACATAGTTATACTGCATAAAAAGAAACTTTTACAATTCGTGTAGGTAGATGGGCACTACCTTCTTGATAATTTTAGATGTAAATGGGGAGTACAGTCACAAATGATTTATTTTTTCTGAGATGTCTACATTTTTCAGTTGTATATTAGACATCACATTAGAAACACCGAAAAAAAACTAATATACTAAAACATTAATGTAGGAATATAGTACTAATTTATAGTAATTATTGTTACAATTTTACCTAGAAATTTTTATTTGTGTGAGTAACAGCGCACCGAGAGAGTTTAGAGGGCATATGCCTGATATAATGATTCACACTTAAACCTCGACTCATAGTGTAACCAAATATAACATGGTTAATGCATTTCATGTGTCATATTTACAATTTTTAATTTTCCGGAGCTTATAAAAAAACTCCAGTTCGGCCGATTTATAGAAATATTTAAAAGTGCGACTTTAAAAAAAATAAAATTCTGTTTAAAATATTTTTCTGCTATTTGCCAAAATTGAATTCTTATTAACTGGCCTATTAGCAGATAGCAGAATTTGAATTTTTTCCCGTTTTTATTTAGATTTGAATTCAATATCTGAGCTATTCTCTTCTTCTTTAAAAAATACCAGGAATAAAGTCACAGCCTAATTGAAAGATAAAGAGATTATCGGTAATTTGACGGACGATTAAAAAACCGAATTATGTAAAGGATTAAAGGAGTTGCTTAAAAGGCTTAAAATACTATTCATCGAAAACTGTTATGTAAGCAAATATTTAACTTTCTAACTATATAATCTGGTTAAATATCATCTGTAGCTAATTACTTGACATTGCAATATTTTAATGTACACACATTATAATAATGAAGGTAATTGTTGTGCCAACGAATTAGGAATTATTTACGCTGTACGATACCAACTACAGTATTGTTTGCTCATAGGAAAGAGATTTCAGAAGCCCGGACGGATATCAAGCGCCCCGAAAATAATTAAAAGGAGAGGTACATGGTTGATTCGGCGAAACGTCTTTATTATAAATCTACTATTATTATTATCGTTATAAGGGCGTTTACTTTCGAAATAGGGTCAACAATATTATAATACTGTTTTTAATGTAGGTATTATTTTCCGTATGCGCTTTCCGCCGAATAAAAGGATCAAATGACTCGGGTAAATTTCATCGCTAGTCGTAATTAGTTCTATCGCCAATGCAAACCAATGCCTTTGTACGGCGCACGGTAATGGCTGCGCCGAGTGGAACGTGTTCATTCGGGCTGAAAGAGATTTCATTTAGATTTACAAAGACTATCATTATTCCGATAATGCAAACATATATAATATGTACAGCTGACGCACTACAAAGCGCTCGGTTGATCGTCTTCTAAAGTTCGATTAATCGTTCTCCGCTCGCTCGTTCACCTTGTCGTTGACGGGTTTTCGGTTATAGCCGAGTCGAAACCCCGGGATTTTCTCCACAGACGGCGGTGTGAGGAAAAAATGGAACCTCTAAAATATATTTTCTACAACATTTAATATTATAATAATATAATAAAGAATTGAGACCACGTAAAAGCGACGGATCTGTGGCTTTCTATCCGCTTTAAATTACGACGTCCCACTCTCGGCAAGTTTATAATAATTAATTTTATTCGTAGCTCTCAGAGGTTTTTTTTATAAAAATATATAAATATATTTTTATTATATACAAGGTGATTTATTTTATCATGAGCCACTCAATATCTCATAGGGTTTTGTAAGAAATTTAATTTGTTTTTTTTATGTTGTTTTTATACAATTTGATCTCAATTTTTCACAATTTTTATTGTTTTTACCCCCCTCCCAACTTAGTTTTTTTGATGACAACTTCTGAAACTTAAACGGTAACGTATATATTTCATCAACTTTTTAAATGTAGAATTATGTACTAAACAAATTGACTGGTCGATAACCAGTTTTGGATATTTATTTTTAAAGTTATAAGAGTTTAAATGTTAGGATGGGAGGGGATGTGCGGTTGGGAAATGCGCACAAATAAAAATAATACTACACTCCACTTTTCCTCCTGCTCTGAACCCTATGAGATTTTGAGTAGCCCATGATAAAAAAAATCACCCTGTATATTTATATATA